AGATGAGCCCCCAGGTGAGACCCTTTGGAGCAATAAATACAAGTCGGGTTCCTTGTGAAGGTAAAGACCCTGCCCAGAAAAGTCCATAACGTGGAGAAAGTAGAGAGCTGAAGGAGAGCTGGTATCCAGAAACTTGTTTATCTGTCCAAGAAATAAATTAAGAACTAGAAATGGAGAGAAACAAATACCAGATAAAACTTTAGTTATTCTACAGTCCCAGGAATAGACCTGCCTCACTCCCACAACCTTTCTCTGAATCTAAGCTGACTCTTAGATATTCCAACTTTGCAATTAAAGAACATTTGAAAACATGGCTTTTCCTTTGCACTGCTGGCATTAAACAGAGATTTTGGCAACCCAACAGAGTTAACATTCCCCTTTCAGCACCTACCTAACACCAGGACTGGGTGGGATAGAGATGCGTGTGGTGCCGCAAACTTCCTTTCTGTTTTACTCTCTCCCAATTGCTTGGGAGGAAGGGCACATCCTAAAATAGTAACATGAATTGACAGGTGGAAGTTCCCATGCTCAAGTTACAGATCCAAGTTTGGATACTATGAAGTTTACTTTAAAAAAAAAAAAAGATTAAGATGTCGAGAAGCTCCTTTGAAAGACATGAAAAAAATGGAAAACCAGGTTTAAGTCAGAAAAAAGTAGAAATTACATCAAAGTAGCTGCATTTTTACCTACAAGAATAAAAATCTTAATCAACACACATAAACACATTAATATCTCAAGCCCAATTTGGCAGACTGCTAACAGTGTGCCATCTGGGAACCCAATTGCTAAGAAATAACCTTACAGTATTGCCTTAAAATCAAGCACCTTTTTGAGGCTTTAGAGAACAGTTAAATCCTTAAAATACAATTTTGAGCCTCCCTTATTTTCACGAAGGCAATATGTTAACACTAGTTTTGTTTCCAATTACTATTCCTTTGGCAACCAGCATGTGTAAAAATAAAAAAATAAATAAAAAGATTTTTCATTTCTGTACCCTCCATTTGATAAATAGATCTTTTTAAAAAACTCAGTCAATATCAACATTTAAAGTTACATTTTAAACCTAATATTAATACCCTAAATAATGAAAGAGTGTACTAGAAAAGAATTTTTCTTTGCATGACTGAAATATTGTGTTCAAAAACACTGCCATCCTGTAGCTGCATAATGAACAGAATGTATCTAAGAAGTGCTAAAAACTGGATTGGAACGATAAGTAGACAGAAAAAAACATGCTGAAAATATGTCAAATTCTCAGCTTAAAATTTTCAATATAATTGTTTAGAGCAATGGTTTAAATACAGGACTTAGTTGATGAGTCAAGTTGCTGTACATAAAATCAAAACCTTTAATGTTCAGACATATGTAATACTTTCAACAATAAAGAATTTTTTAAAAATTTAATGTTCAACACTACCTTCCTGCCAACTTCCTCCCTCCAATACAGGACCTCTGGACGACTCTGTTGGGTTGCTTTTATAACATGCAAATGCTGTGTGCCTCTTCATGGCCAGCAGCACCACAGAAACCATGACATGGCCATCGGAGCTCTCCAGTGTCTGTGCCTGGCACCGGGGTCGCCATGTTTGCTCTCATGAGGCCTTCTATAGAGAGTGTGCAGGCACAGCGAAGTGGGAGTCACACCACCTCTTCTCTGTGGGTTGTGTTTGCTTCTGAGTTCAGTGTGAACATACAACATGGTTTATAATAATGATGCAGCTATTCATTCGTACAGAAGGTAAATGTCATGGCCTCAGGAAACATCTGGATGTAAACATCTCAAAAAACCACTAGGAAAAGTTTAACTTCAATGTACCATTCATGGAGATGAAGTCACAAATTTATGTATTAGCCTTTTGGGAAGAAAAGTAGTAAAGATGGATTCTACCCATTAAAGTCAGGGATGTCAAAATTAAAAGTACCAACTGACTTGAATACATGAATCCCAAAGTAAATGCAATAATTCAAACATACTTGGAAAAATTTAAACTACATCTTGCAAGAAGTAAAATAATCCATTTAGAAAGTTAGATCCCATGTTACTATGCATATTTAAAGACAATTATGTCACATATTAATATGTATAATTACAGAAAAATGAAGAATACTCTAGTTCGATTTGACTGGTACAACGTTGTTATTGCAAATTAAATTGTAAATCTCAAATGCTGGAAAGTTAGGGTTTACGGTTAGGGTCTGGATTATCGACATTACTCACTAGCAAAGGATCTTTAAATTGATTGCTCCTGCTACTAATTCTCACCACACACAACTCTCCTAGGCTCCATATGCCACTATGTTTTTAACACTCCTGTCCATTAACAAAAAACGCCTCCCATGTGCCAATGTGGAGAGAATAAACTGCTCTTTCCTCTCAGTATGTCACACAAATATATATCTTAGATTGTACTTGCAGCAAGACCAACGGCAGGTCTATGAACTGTTAATGCAGTCTTAGACATTGAGTTTTTATAGAGCATTTAAAATAATCAAATATTTTGCCATATCTTTGCTAATTTTAATGTATACAGATGAGCAAACTAATGCCAAAGTACTCACATAACTGCACGCAAATTATAGTAATCTTTCCATTTTAGATGGACAAACATACTAGCACAGAAATATATAAATTATTATATGTTAATCAGTAAAAAGTTACATTTTAGCAAGACTGTCGATCAGCATCCTTCCTGCCCACATGGTTATCTTGCTGGCAGACTAGAAATAAGTAAGGAACTCCAAGTCTAAGTCAGGGTTTCTCAACCTTAGCGCCACTGATATTTGGGACCAGAAATTTTGTTATGGGGACTGCTCTGTTCACTAAAGAACATTTAATAGCATTCCTGACACACTAAATGCCAGTAGCACCTCCCCACCCACCCCTCACCCCCCGCAGCTACATCAACCCTAAGTATCTCCAGGTCTTGCCAAGTATCCCATGGGGGACAAAGCTGCCCCGAGCTGAGAACCATCAGTCTAACCAACTCCAAGTCCTTTAATCTATAATAAGAATAGGGCAGGATTTGACCAACTGGAGACTCCACATTACATAAGAACAAAAACTAAAAAGAAATGCATTACTATTTAGTTAAGCAATCATTTGCTTTCCTTTAAACCTGCTTCCTTTTTGTAAGAATGCTATCTCAGGGCATAAGATCTGTGGCCAACATTGTTTAATAAGCCATATGCCAGCGTTTCCTAACCCCCTGATTCCATCTCAGCAGACCCAGGGTGGACGCCGGTGCCGCTCCAGTCCCAACAAGATGGAGTGGTCAGGGGAACTGTTCTCCCTCAGGGGATCTGGCCAGTACTCCTCAGGCACACCTTAGTTTTATGGCCTTGTGGTTTCAACTGAAACAAGTTGTTCTGCATACTTCCTACTACAGCTGTAACTGTGACCTCTGGTTTCAGTTTGTCAGTAACTTCACTGATACCTGGGCCCAGATATGATTTTTCCCAAACACTTTAGACCCAACATTCCACAAGGCTCCAGGGCAAGATTTGCTCAGAGCACCCTTGGAACTAGGAGCCAACAAACAAGTTTTGCCTAGTCCCCAGCCTACTCAAACATCGGCTATCCAGTTTCAAAACAGTATGATTTTAAGGGGAAAAGACATTCGACAGCGACAGCTTAAAAAGAATTTCCAAGTCAAAAATCTCTTTGCCCATCAGATAGGTCTTATGAGAGAATGACGATTAGGAAAAATAAAACAAGTTTTTCCAACGTTATTGTTCAAGGAAATTAAACATGACCCCACATACTGCAGAAGTAAAAACACCACACTGATACTGAAACTTAGGATCAATCAACTACTTCAATGAGTCAGAATTAATCAGAAATGCAAACCACTGCATCCCTGCCATGCACATATCATTGCTCTGTAGCTTAGAAATGCGTATTCAACAGAACTCAAAGCATATAGGTTCAAATGGCTTGTTCATTTAAAAATATGTATTGTTAGGCTCTGAAGAGATTAATTCTACCTGGGATTTTAGGTTATACTTCTAAAAGATATGTATATACAGGGTTACTTTTCTTTAGAAAAAAAATGTTGTTCCCATTTAAGATTTTACAGTCAATTTTTTAATAATTATTGAAGCTACTACAACAGGGATATTAACCACATAAACTAAATCTTTGTTTGAAATCATAGAAACTAATTTTTTCCATTTCTATTATTGCTATAGATAAATACTTTATTCTATTTTTCTTCCTTGGGAAAAAAAAATGTTTATTAGGTTTAAGAGCCAATAATATAAAGAGGTGGTCATCATTACAAAATTAAATCATTTTCCTGTCACATTTATCTGATAATAGGAGTTTATTCTGATTCACTGAAAGCAGATTTATAGGGAAAGAAATCTCACAAGAAGCTCAAAACCAGATTTCCCAAAATCATATGAACACACGAACACCATTTTCCACCTAAAACCCAACAGCATCACCTGCACACGTTTTCACCGCCCCTCACTTTCACTTTCTCATCCATACTATTAAAACAGTTCATTTTTTAGAAACCAGCCACAATTAACAAGGAAAGCTTTGCTTGCTGGTCCTAAGCATCTCTGCTTTATCACTGTCCCTCTCTCATTTTTATGTTATCAATTAGGTCTCAATTCCAAACATATAAAAACTATCTTTAAATAAGTATTTTTACTCTGCAAGTTCTTACATAACTTTTAAATTAGCTTTATAAGTATAACAAGTAGCGTCACCATTAGCAACTGAACACCACCAGGCTGGACAAGCATTCAAATATAAACTGCCATTTCGGTTAGCAGGGAGATTTAAAATAAGACCATGGCTTGTTATCGATTACAGAGAGCTTCCCAGTCTCAGTCCCCGCGCTATTTTTTTAAGTAGCCTATTTTGGAAAGAGAACAGAGGAAGACCGAGAGAGAAACGATCTTTCAGTAACCAGGAACTCTCGGGAATTCTTTTCACTTAAGCCACAAAGCCCTACGTTTAAAAAAATATATAAGCAGCCAGTGAAACTTACTTGACAGTGACTCGATTTGATAAATCCTGTAGATCCCCAGGATGGAAAAGCTGGGCTTCTTTCAATCCAATCTGTTCACAAGCTTTCAAAAAAACGTTTATATTATCCTGTGAAAAAAAAGTGGAAAGTGATTGCTTAGCCCAGAGCTCTGTCTCAGACAAAGGTTACAAAATTTTTATGATACAACTTCCAAGCTTCAAAGTCCAATGACAGCCAGCAAAAAAAGGAGACAGCAAGACCGATGAATACATGTATTTAAAAAAAAAAATACACGGGCATGTATAGCCTTTCAGTCCTCCAGAGCATAAACGGTGGTGCTATCACCGGCATACGCCGTTTCTGTGATCTTTGTGACTGGCACGTTAAACATTACCTGTTACAGGACAAGTGCCTAGCCACTGAGCAGTAATCTACACTTTGATGTCAGCTCTGCTCTGCAAACAAACGCCCTCTTCCCAGCTTTGCACGACAAGCCTCACCTCTCCTCTTTAAAAATAACTCCAGCTACTGACATTCACCCACCCAGAAACTGTTGGCAGGGAGGAAATAAGAGGAGGAACATTCTGTTTCTATGATTACAAATTACAGAAAGACTGTGGAATACCACACCTGGAATCTGGGTTTGGTTGCTGAGCCGGCTCTTGACGGACAGGGAAACCATACTATAGGACCCAGGAGAAGCCTAGCTTTCATTGGCTAAGTCACATAGTTTAGGTGTGGCACATTACTCAACGCCCTGCAACCTGCCTCAGGAACTGCCTCCAAAAAAATAAAAATCTAGGTTGTCCTCATATCTAATTTCAAAGCCCAAACCATCCATTTACAAGCGAATGCTTTCCATTTACATGAACTGCTACACAGACACTGACTACAGTATTTTCTATGCTACAGTCGGCTGCATTTCAGAGACACGTATGTGGTGAACAGAATTAGCATGAGCTTTCGTCCACCTCTACTCTTCCTAAGAAAACCCTTTACGGGGTTGAACTTGTGATGATCCCACGTGAACTCTTGACCTTCACTTTGTTAGGGTTCTCAGGCAAGAGAACAGCCTCCTCGCTTGCCAACACACGTCTGTCCACTTACATGTGCTGGCAACACCATGTCTATGGTGTGAGCCTCAGAGCCTCCCTGAAACCTCACCTCCTTCCCTAACAGCCGGCCAAGTAGGGACAGAAGACAAGCTGCACTTGAAGAAAGGCCACTGCTCCTTTCCCATGTTGAGAAGCTCATTCTCAGAGGGAAAAAGGCAGAATGTTATGGCAAAGTGGGAGGGAATGATAAAGAGAGAAAGATGAAGGAACTAAATTTAATAGTTTGGATTCGTCAAGAGTGAGGGGATTTAGGGAAAAGGAAAGAAAATATATAGCAAGAGAAGAGCAATACTGGTTGCTAGGAAACTCAGGCACATTTTTTTAAAAAAGCTTTGTAAAGTCTTTATTCTAGTGTACTATCAGTAAAAGGCAGTGTGAGCTAACTAGGGGAAAGCTCAAATCCATGATTCATTTTAAATAAGAGGTCAAAGATTAAAGGAATGTATACGTCAAAAGTTAAATAGCTCAATTAAAGGCATTTTATATGATCCTATGTGGGGGAAAAAAGGGAAATAACGTTTTGGCAAAATTACAGGGGGAGCAAAAGTGGCCATTTTGTTGGTAAGCTCACATAATTTCTAGAAACTATATTATTCGTAATTACCAAATGATTCAAATTCATGGTTCTACGATTGACCCTCAGACAAGAGTAAGTGGTTTGGTATACCAGTACCCCAAGTCCTAGATGCAAATCTCATACCCAACAAGGAAAAATAATCCATAAGAAGTCTTCCCACAAATTCAATTTGGTTCTGAAAATTTTAAATGTTATAAAACATTAAAACAAAGTTAAATTAAAAGTAAACTTATGTAACTGACAGCCAAAATTATTCTTCACATATTTTATAGAAACATAATCACATTCATTCAGTTGACAAATATGTACAGGCTGATAAATGTGTACATGCCTCAAAACCCATCCAAAGTATTAGAAAGGAACCACTTAAAATATAACATGACTAAACTTCATTGAAGACAAAGAAAAAATACAATTAATAGGAATACATTCTAATTTTAAATAAAGCCTGTACAGTAAAAAGCAGAATCTTTTAAACAACTTGATGATGCTTTAAGTTTAAAACAGACAAACTTCATAAACAAAGTAACCCATGTCCTAGGCAGCAGGAACAGGTTGGACTGGAATCAGAATTGTAACCTAAATCATGCTTACTGGACTAGAGCCCATTGTTAATTTATTTTATGCGATTTCAGAGAGTTGCCTAAGGGGAGATACAAAATTATAACATTTTCGTGTCTGATGAAACATCAAGAAACCACACCCAGCTCAACATATTAAAATGGAAGCATGCAACTCACAAAGACAAAGTAAAAACAAAGGACAAACCTGAAACAAATCTTATCTCACTGGACAGGTAGCCAGGACTCCAAGTTAGTTCTGTCAGCAACCAACTATGTGGCTTTGGAAATACTAACCTTTCTGGCCCCATTTTCCGCGTCTGTGATTAGTTTGTGGATCTGTAAACCGTTACCAAGGGCACACGCTTGTGTCTGCAAGGGCAGGGAAGCCCAGCCGCTCCTCGCCCAGCCCTCCACACAAATATTTCATAGCCCAGCTTACATAAAATACTTCATGTCAAAAGCCTGCTCTAAACATCGGTAATTCCTACACCTTGAGGACCAAAGGTGGCTTCTTAAAAATAAGCCCCCCAAAAAGCTGATCCCTGAAGATCTGATATAGCTCCTTTAGGTTTAAGTTCTTCTATAACTATGTATAAAAACAAACACTACATAAACAGAAATAGCAGGATGGCTGAAGATTTTCATATTCTCTCAAATCCCCTCTCCACCCTTTGGCCTTGAATCAATTATGAGGGCAGTCATGAACAGGTGTGTGGTGGAGGGCAGAAGGGTAAATTAGAGAGAGATTAATGAGTCAGGAACAGTACTTGCTATAACAACTGAGGCAAGAGGAGGAAGCCACAGAAATTTACAGATTCCCAGAGTTACATTAGTCTGCTGTAGTATCTCTACAGATTATCTACTGCTGCAGAGCAAGTTGTCCGAAAACTCAGCAGCTTAAAACAATAAACATTATGATTACACACAGTTTCTGAAGGTCAGGAATTTGGAGTGGCCTAAGCTTGTGGTTGTGGCTCGAGGGTCTCTTGGGTTGTAGACAGATGTCAGGTGGGGCTGCAGTCATCTGAACGCTGACTGGAGGCTGGAAGAAGCTGCTCCTACGGTGGCTGCCTCAGACAGCTGGCAAATCAGGGCTGGTTGTTGGCAGGAAGCCTCGGTTCTTTGTGGAAATAGACATCTCCACAGAGCTGCTTGATAGAGTGAACCATCCAAGAGAAAACAAGATGGAAGTTGCAATGTCTCATAACCTAGCTTTGAAAGTCACACTCCATCACTGCCTCATGTCCTGCTGGTTACACAGGTCAGCCTTATTCACTGTAGGGAGGACTAAGAATATAAATAGCAGGAGGTGAGAATTATTGGGGACCATCTGGGGACTGGAGACCATAGTTCACTTTCTGGCTCCAATGATTCATGTCCTCACTAACCCTTCCCAAGGTGCAGAAAACTCTCATCCCTTTATAAGGTGAGCTCACAACCTGGAATTGCATCATCTAAATCAGATCCAGGTACTCATGCGGTGCCTCAGGTATAGTTCCTTAAGTATAGCCCTTGAGCACAGTTCCTCTCAACTTAAATGCCAATGAACTAATAAAACAAGTTACCTAACCTGCCCCACTCCCCAAAACAGGTATAGGGTAACTCCAGTTCCAAGTGTGTAGAAATGAATGCCACTGAAATTCTGAAATCCTGCAAAGCATAGATTAGTGGGGTGAGCCACTCATTAGAATTTCAGGCCAGGAAATACTTCTTCATGATTTTTTGCTTTACCCTCTGAACGCTTGGTTCACCTTGAATATCATTTTTCCATTTCTTTGAAAAGCAGCTTCTGTTTGCAGCAGTGTTAGCTTTCTCAGTCGGCTTCCTCCCCATTAAAATTTGGGGAACTATAAGTCTCTTAGTTTCGAAGTCCTCTCTCCCTTTCAGTTGAAGTTTGGGTGTTTCTGAAAATACAATTCTCTCAAAAATATCCTGTCTAGCCCTGACCGGTTTGGCTCAGTGGATGGAGAGTCGGCCTGCGAACTGATGGGTCCCAGGTTCGATTCTGGTCATGGGCATGTACCTTGGTTGCGGGCACATCCCCAGTGGGGGGTGTGCAGGAGGCAGCTGATCGATGTTTCTCTCTCATCGATGTTTCTAACTCTCTATCCCTCTCCCTTCCTCTCTGTAAAAAATCAATAAAATATATTCTAAAAAAATATATCCTGTCTTCTGTGAATGGTATTGGACTTCATTGGATACACCAAAAAGCCACACACACAAATCCCTTCAAAAGAACACCTTCTCCATCTTGGTCTGCAGAGATGACTGAGGGACACCACCCCTCAGCTTCTTAGAAGTCCCATTGCTGGTCTAGATAAATTTGTAAGGCACCACTTTGAATCTTTTTTTAAGATCTTAAAAGATCTGCAAAAAGCCACATCCTCAGCTTCATCTTTTTTTAATTTAAATCTTTATTGTTGAAAGTATTACATATGTCCCCTTTTTTCTCCCATTGACCCCTTATTGCCCTCGCCCACACCTACCCCAGGCCTCCACCACCCTATTGTCTGTGTCCATGGGTTATGGATATATGCATACAGTTCTTTGATTGATCTCTTCCCACCCACCCATCCCTACCTTCCCTCTGAGATTCCACATCAGCTTCATCTTTAGACCTTGTTTTCCAGGCTGAGCTCTGAATTTGATCTTTGCCAGAAAGCCATGTCTCAATTCTAGCATCAACTGACCAAGGAGGCTGATAATTCTCAAAACCAGCAATTCCTATGCCTGTCATGTTTATCATCCTAACCTTCACTCTCCTGCACTTTACTGTAATCAGCAGAAGGAGGCCAGACAGCACTTTGACATTCCACGTGGAAATCTTTTCAGATCACCTAGTTTATTAGGCACAATTTATAGGTAAAAGGGAA